TATATATATATATATATATATATATATATATATATTAATTACTATATTCTTGTATATTACTAATAGCACAGTAGTAGTAGCAGAATTTATTTGATTGATATTCTTTGCTATTCTTAGGTTTGATTGAAATGTCACAGTGATTTTTCTATGAGTTTATAGATTAAACAGTGTAAAAAGGATTCAGTAGTTCATTATCGTATGCATATTTTTCAGACCATATTTCCACTGTTAGAGCTAGTCTGTTATTCTAATGCATACACATATTTTTATAACCGACTTTTACTTACTTTTACTTTTACATAATGACCTGCCACTTACACCCACTATAATAAAACTGTCACTAATTACTAATTGAACTTGAAATCATCAAACTCAGGCTTGAATTGCAGAATTCAACTTTTAATGACTTCAATTACATATAAGAACTTAACATGTGAAGTCAAATGAACACGGGCACCCAGTTTACCAAGTTTTAAAAACATAAAACTTGTACATAACATTTTAATACCTCTATTGGTCTAAGCAATTGTAAACAAACCGCAATACCCACACTATGTAGACTGCATTTTCCTCTTGTAGGCTGTAATGCGGTTGTAAACATAAAATTTCAGGTTCTGCCAGTCCCTGTTCTAAAGTGCTTCTGGTTCAGCCCTCGAACATTTTTCACACTCACGCTTTGTTGGTAAAATGCACGATGTAATGAACTGAGTCATGTGCTTTTCCACTGCCTGCACCTCTGTTTGCTGCCAGGGTGTCCTCTTCTTCTGGGCAGCTTTACCTTCAGGTGATCAGAAAGACAGATTTGTAACTGAAAGGATTTGGAATAGTGTTGCTGGAATTCCACTCTAAAACTCAGAATCGTATATAATTATATATGCAAGCATCTACAAGAGAAGAGAAAAGTGTACAGAGCTCACCTTTGGAGGAAGGCTTCAAAACACTGTCTCCTGAAGAGATCTCAACTGTCTCATTTGATGGCGATGGTTTATTTCTCTTGGGTGATGATGGTGGTGTTTCATTCCTCTCAGCATGGAAAATAAAAATTCAACATTTTCATAAAGATATACTGTATACTCTACAGACTGTTGACAAAACATGTGATGTGGCATTTGGTGGATTTATGGTTTTATTTGCAGTGCAGAAAACTGTGTTGAAAAGTATATTTAAAACTAACTATTAAACTGATGAATTAAAAAAATAATGAATTTTTATTTAGCTCTAATACTAGAGAAATCAACAACCAATTCACAAGCTTATTTAGCTACACAGTGTCTTGATAAGAAACAGACAAAGTTCAAAAGTAAATCTGTCATGGATTTTTAAGGAGTATGTATGAATTACACAAGAAAAAAAATCAGTGTAGCTTACTTATTTACATATTTAATACATACCATCAACATTACAGCAGTCTTCCTCCTGTCTGCTCGTCTCTTCCTGATCACTGTCAGGAACCTTTTCTGCAAAAGTCAATCGACCCATTGCACCTACAGCATGAATTACACAAGAAAAAAAAAAGTCAGTGTAGCTTACTTATTTACATATTTAATCCATACCATCAACATTACAGCAGTTTTCCTCCTGTCTGCTCGTCTCTTCCTGATCACTGTCAAGAACCGTTTCTGCAAAAGTCAAAGTGAAGACCAAGAAATGAAACACAAATAGATCGTAAATATAGAAATACACACAAAACAGTCTTATAATATAACACACCATTTGGTTCTATCTCCATTTCATGCCAAGTTCTTGCCATGAAACTCAGATAGTCTTCCTTGCTCGAGCGCCATTAGAACTTTACTGATCTTGGCCGATTGCAGGGTCTTCTCAGGAAGTCGATAGAACTCACGATGGATTCTTATGTCATGTCCAAGAAAATTGGCAAGCTGGTCCATCTCTGTGTCTGTCAAGTTCAGCACTGTGGAAAGGGTCGCTGCATGCTTTCGCAATCTGGTAGATGTCAGTGACCTGGGGCGATTCGCATCACACACCTTTGCAAAGCCTCGGATGCTGGAGTCTGACCCTCGGAAATGTGTCATGGCTTCAGGTCTTGCAAACATATACAAATGTTCTTTCAAAACTCCACAAGACTCTCTCTGCTTGACAAGGAGTTCTACTGTGCACAGCATTTTTGGAGTCAGAAGAATTGGAACTGGACCACCTCGTTTTCCTCTGATGACAATCCTTGAGAAGTGCCTACAGAGCTTTATTTTTTCCAGTTCAGAGAGTGCCCAGTCCACATCTTCATGCGGATCAGAAGTGTCTCTTGATGAAAACGCAGATAAAGGCATACTTGCCACCTCTCCTTCCCTGCGTCGGTTAAAGAGAATGATCTGGACCAGACACACCTTTGCCAAGTCTGCCCATGTTTTTGTACAGGGACTTTCAGAGAGTGCATTGTAACACTCATCTTGCATTTGACTGAGACATGCATGAAGTTTCTGGACATCTTCAGTGAAGGGCATGAGAGCAGGCACATTCCACTTTGCTTCCCTGATGTTCCTGAGTGCTGTAGCTGAGATCATCGCATTCCATTTCTCCTGATGGACACCTAGAAACTCAGTGGCATTCTTTACCATCAGTTTGTTGTTTGAGATTAAACCCTGAGCTTTTAGGAGTTTGCTTACTTTAACAAGGGCATGTTTGCCCGCGTTTGTTTGCCAGTGATGGGACCACAAACTTGTTTTTCTCACTGTCATATCCACATGTAAACTTGACAGCTCTAACGGTCTCTAAGTACTTGTTTGGATTTATGAAATCTTCCATGTTTTTTTTAATGTGGTGTATCTTCTGGCATTTTAAAATCATCCTTCCCATTTCTCTCATCCTCTCTCGCACACACTGCTGATTCTTGGCTGATATCCCACCTTTGTTTAACAAGTGTTGCCCAACATCAATAATGACATGGTCATTTTTGATTATTTCTGTAACTGGGTCAGGATTCATGGCACTAATTACTGCCCAGAGTTCTTTACCTACGTATGTTTGAATGCACAGGCGCTGTGTACGTGCACATGGACTGAACACGGTTCTTTCCTGGTTTGGTGGGTTGTGATCCTGGTCTAAGTTTACAAGTACGCATATGCCGCCACAGAATCTTCCTTGTAAAAAGTCCTTGACAGTATGCACAATGCATAAAGTCTTTTCCTTGGGTTTTTTCATGTGGTCCTTTAAATGGTACTAGTTCACCCTTTCCTAACTCCATGACAGAGGCATTGTGGGCAAAGTTTCCTTTGTTACGAATATAATCCAGGTGTTTTTTTCCTTTCTTTGGAACTCTTTGGAAAGCTAAGAGCTTTTGCCACATCGGATTTCTCTTGATGAGCACGTTCTAGATGTCTTGCCATCTTAGCATAGGGCTTTGAGCAATACAAGCAATAATGTCTCTTGTCTTACACTCTATTCCCACCTCTTTTTCGGCATGCACGAACAACTATGCAGTCATCAAGGGCCTGACTTGAACAGGGCCCTTCCTCTGCTCCACTGGATTCAGATGTTGGCTTGTTGATGGCTATATGTCCTGGTGTTGTAGAGTCACAGACATGGGGACTCGTTGATCCAGAGATACAGTATTCAGTCTATCATAAGGAGACTGACGTTTTGTAGTTAGGTTTAGTTTAAGGCTAACATCGCTGTCACTGTGACTTTTGGAAGTGGTTTCTGGAATGTAGTCATCTCCACTTTTTGGTGTAGAATCGTATAATTCCGCAGAATCTGCAAGATTTACATCTTTTATCTAAAAAACAGAAATAGAAAAACATCTTTAGCTGAGCTTTAGGGAAGAAGAAATTGTGATAATCAATTACACATTCTGGGTTTCTGTTATAATTTACTAAATATTTTTGGTCTTTGGAAAGTTGATCTGAAAGACAGTGATTCTGTGTGACATAAAATAGTACTTTATACACCAGTTGAGTTATCATTTTGAAAGAAATTGGAATCTATACCTGGAAATAAAAAACCTGTTACACCATTCAAAACAATACCAGTTCATTACACAATAAAATTATTTTAACTATTTAAATATTTTAACTTATCTTTTATACCATGCAAATGAAAACTTACTATGACGCTTTTCGATCTTCTCAATCTTGGGACAAAATGTCATTTTCAATTTCAATCTCTGTCCCAATCTGTAAATAGGAGCAACAATATAATCCACATTTAATATCATTACATTTACTATTAAATAAATAGAAATAATTTAAAACACATTTCCTTCAAATCAATTCAAAGATTTTGTCTGCCTAAATGAGTTCTGTCTGTATTCACACACCTTCAGTAAAACAGGCTTTGTTGGGACTTTTCACACACAATGTTAAAGTTTCTTGTGGGGACCAGTTTGTCCAAGTATTCATACAATTTAGTTTCTACTCAGAGTTTCTCCTCACACACTGACTGGTGGTGTGTTGTGGGGACGTTGTGACTGCTCCAAATAAAGTGATAGTAAACTAAGAAGATAAAACTCTAGAAAGATCAAATGTTTCCTAAACTGTTCACTAACACTAACCTTCTTTATACATCACATTTAACTGCTTCATACTACTGAATGACAATTAATTACCATCACAACACACTAACCTCCCAGGTTTAGCTGCTTAAAAAAATAGAGAAGGACCAATAGAGAATGTAGAATTAAATCTGAGGTGATGACCATGAATATACCTGTGGACTAGAGCTGTCTGGACCTGTAGCATCATCTCTCTGAACCTCTGGTTGGACTGGTGGATGGAGGTCATCTACAGATACTGTATCAGCTGCAGTTGTGCTTGTCTGTAAACACAGATTTTAAACACAAGACTTTAGAATGTATAAAAATAAATAACATTGGAACACATACATGGACACTTTGATTGGAATATAAAAGATAGCAAATAGAGATTTCTTCTGAACAAGTAGTCAATCTTTGATGAAAATCTGGCATTATACACCAGATTAATTTGGTCTGTAAACATATATTGTGAAGTGACAAATTTTATAGGACACAATCTCTGCTGGTGAATTTTCACACTGTGCTTACATATGAGCCATGGAAAGGGGCTGTCTGGA